TAACAATGTCACCGGGGTGATCAGCCACCAGTGAAACACATAATATAAAAACAATATAATAATAATTATAAAGAACATAATAATAACATAATATTACGCCTGTATTCCTATTGGTTAACTGCTCAATACAAATAATAAAATATAAATATAAAGGGGGCTGAGCTGTTGTCTGGAACTGACGTTGACCGGAACCACGAGGTCTTGACCGAGTTGGACTTGTAAGTTGTATGTTGCGTTAAACACGAACGGAACAACGTCGTGACAACACGCTATGACATAAAGGCTTCGAGCTGACGAATCAGAGCAGATTAGCACCTTAATAGTTAATTAATTTATTATTGTAAAAAGACAAAGCAACAGCAGTGACAAAACACAACTGCCATGAAAACAACATGGAACTCAACGTTCTTCGACGTATGGCAAAAGACCAAAGACTTAAGACACGACGCAGTCGACGCACCAAGGTCCAAGACGTCTAACGGTCAACGGACCACCGGGTCGCCGACCGAACTGAATCGTGGGGGGGGAGTAGAGAGAGCGTCCTCGCTCAGTATGACCATCGCTACGTTTACGGGGCCGACATAGTGATCACAACTAATCGGGGCGCAAACAAATACCTTTAATATTAAATACGTGCATAACCATCTCATAGCGGATATACGTTACTAGCTGAATTACCCGACGTCGCCCGGAAAAACTCCTTTTAGGTGTAAAACGCTGTGGAAGCGTTGTCGAAAAGAAGAATGTCTTTGTAAATGTAAATTATATAATATTTAAATTTGTAGCCACATGTGTAATTATATGGATAATAGTGTTTACGGGCTAAATATTTTATATGTTACGCAAGTCCGAACTGCTGGTTGTGAGGAGTGCAAATGAAATCAAAAATGAACGTGTTTAATGTAGGTATAGGCACCTTGGCAAGGCAATGGAGAAATAATAACTAATAAATAGAATTTGTATGTGTATTGGTTTATGTTATCGGTATGCATTTTATCGTTCATTATATATTTATATTAATATAGGAGTATTGGTGTACGCGCATTACTTGGAGTGCGTTTTCGTCTAGCGTTTTTGTCGCGCGGTAAAAACGCGTAATTACTGCGCGTCAAAACCGCTCTAGTGTGGCGCGGCCCCATGCATGAGATTATTTTTATTGATAAACTTCTCGGAACAATTATTCTTATCTACACGACGACGACGACGAACAAAAAGGATAGGTTGCAAGTAGCTGGAAACCCACGGGCCACCGTGTCGCACAATACGTACTGGTGGTGAATAATTATAACTGTTAATTACTCCACTAAAATGCAACATTTTTGAAAATCCTTTCTTATTGCTCGGTGAAAATATGAGAAGAACTTCTATTCCAAATTTCAAGTCCATACGTTGAGTAGTTTTTGAGATACAGCGATCAGTGAGTCAATGGTATTTGGATTTTATATGTGTAGATTACATAATACATGATGTGCTGCTAATTGCTATATAATACACTTTAATCTAAATAAGATAATTCTAGCAGATCAAACAATGCGTGAGTTCTACGATAATGACTTGAAGGTAGTCAGTTGGGCGTGTGTTTTCGTACATTTTATTTGCCTGTCATTGCGTCTAAAAGTAGATAATTTGGTATAATCGTCATCATTGACGATTGATGGTAGTATTGAAGAAAAAAAATTGAGTCAAAAATTAGAAATATTATGTTAAATACAATTGGAAAAACCAACACAAAATAAAAATACAACCAAAGTTTATTTGCGCCATATCAGTTTTTGACAAAATTGTTATTTTTTTCTCTTTGTAATCCAGAAAGTATTTAATTATTTATTTATTTTTTTTTTTTTTAAATGGATTGATAAAAAAATTATGTACATAAATTGAACTAACATAACATTTTTGATTTTCTTTCTCCTAAAGCTAAAATTGTAACGATTTGTAGACTTTATATTATTAATAAATATTTATACGTATTATTAACATACGTATTTAAAATATTATATAATTTTAAAATATTTTGGATATTTTTTGTGAATACAAATAGATTGCATTAAGTAAAAACAACAATTTTAATTTTATAATTTTATTTAAAAAACATTTATTATTTACATTTTAAAGTTGTCTTCATTTTTTTACAGAAAAAAAAAATCAAAATATTTATACTAATTTTAATTACACCATAATTCAGCTTACATCAATTTAAGCGCGAACTATTAGTCCCTATTGATTTATAAATTATAAATAATAAGTTTTAAGTTTTAAGCAATTTAAAAAAAAATTATATTCACCATTAGTTATCATAATATATAAATTAATATAGTATAAATTAAGACATAATATCTTGCTGAAAATACTTAGATCATAAAACCCAAAAATTTGTTATTTACGTAAATAATTCGGATCGAAAATAATTTCTATTTTATTTATTTTAATTATTACATATGCCTAATTTTGACTTGAAGTAGAGTCAATATTCGAAAATAAATTGACATGTAGTATATTTAAACATTTTGAGAAACTTGTTGCCAGCTTTTGTTTATTGGACACGCATATTATGTATTACCTGTAGAAACCTCGTGTGGTCTTGTGTCAATTCATGCCATTAATTATTATAGTTCACTGTCTACTTAGAAAATATATATTGTTCTAGGTGATGACATGATAAATAATGACATTTTAGAATGCCTAGTTCTTAGATATTTGTGTTATATTAGATATAATATATATATATATATATATAAATGCAATAAAAATATACGCACAAATCGTTCGTTATTATTGTGTATTGCTATTCAGACATGTGGCACTCGTACGAGTTTATCAATATATATTTTTTTTTAATGTACAATTAGAAATTAACAAGTGAAATTGTAATCATTCCTTTACAATTATCTCACTCGAAACTAAATCCTGTAGATGCTACAGTTAACAATGAATAATTATTACGTTGTATATTGCTGTTGGGTAAATTATAAATAAATATAAGATTTTATCAAATGGAACTTATTAATGCTCATACTACGTAAATAAATTCTATATTTGTATGATTGACGTATTTTAATTATGTCTTATTCTTTAAATTAAAAAGGTTTCCATATTAAAAAAAAATTCATAAACTTGTAAACTCATTTTGAGATAACTTTAGAAAAGTAACATTTTAATGATTGAACAAACTATTCTCAACATAATATTATGAAATTTTATGGATTTGGCAAGTCGGCAATATAAAATTATATTCAATCATTATTGATCGAATAATGAATTCAATATTAATATCTAAATTATAAAATCATGATAAATTACTTTATTTTATAGAACTTGCATTAATTGGGTTCTCTTCGACATCTGAGTTTACCGCAGTAATTAAACGCTCTTATACCTACAGTTAATCATGAAAATATTTTGATAATATTATATTAATATTATAAAATAATATGAATACAGATTTTCCAGCGTAGGTAAATAGAAATGTTAGCCAGTTTAGCTTTTCTTTACGCTTAAATAAACTATCATGATAAATAATTTACTTATTATTTTTGATTTACTATCTATGCAAGTGTGTAATAAAACTTTTTAAGTATTCATTGTATCGGATTGTCAGAAAATGTTTAACTAAAATTTTAATAATTATGATGAAATTATCGTTTTGGAAACAACACATTAAATTTATAGTATATTCATTAAAATCTAAAAATATTATTTTAAATAGGTACCACGGCAGAAAGATTAGGTTAGGCATTATACGCGACCTCTATGTCTCTTGTAGTATATATTTTAGATTCTTATTTTTAATACAAGAGAGCGTATGCAATATAATATTTTCGGTATTATTATTTTTTTAATTTAAATAATACGTTTTTATTTTTATTATTTAACTGTTATTCACTGTTTTAAATTGTATTTTAAGTATATACATTTCTTGTTTTTAAAGGTACGATATTATTTACTTATAAATTATAAGTTATAAGCTATACATCTATACTGAACCATTTTAAAACTACGTATTCTTTCAGTTATATATTCGTGCTTAGTAGGTTTAAGTTTAAAATAGTTGTAAAAATTATTAATGAGTTTAAAAGACTATATAATTTTGCCAGATTTAAATGCGTCACAAATCAATTATTTAGCCGTTACACGCACATGTAAAATTACGTATTAAAAATGTGTTTTCTTACAAAAGTTGTTTTTTAAATTAACTTTTAGGTTTAATTAAATACCCAGACATAGTAATGGGTAAATTCCTAGGAAATTTACTGGAATATTCATAAATGATTTAAAGGAAAATTAAAATGTTATTGCCTATTTTTGAAACATATAACTTATAGTCATAAATTATGAGAAGAAAAAATAATTTATGCGCAGAAATATTGCAAGAACTTTTGATTATTCCAAAAATACATTGTAAACATTTAATATAATAATATGTATGTAAGTTATATACTTTAAATATTTTAATTGTTAGTGTAAATATTAGATTTTAAATGTATGTGATATAATATACAATTTTTACAGTCTGTACTTTTTTGTATAAATTAGCTTTTTTAAGAGAATATTACCAAGGGGTAAGGAAATTTTTCTAATTAAGCTAGAAGTTGAAATCTATCATTTACCCCTAATAACAAATATTTAAATCAATGTTCATCAGTTAAGATAATAATAATAATTTCTCGATTTAAATTTTATCTATATTATAGTTATACTCTGTCCGGACTATGTTAACGATGTGTACATATATATGACTTTACTTGGCTATAATCGTTGACCATTAACCTAAACCTAATCGATATTCTAAAATAACTACGATGACCTGTCCGTTTTTTTATCATCATTATTATTATTATTTATATATATATTTTAATTTAGGACATCATTCAAAAAGGTTTTAAGCCACAGTATAAGGGTTGTGCGTGTTATTATTTTTTTTTTCAATCAGTTGCCCTAGTAACGTTTACGGCAACATACAATGAGATCGTATATATAATATAAATCCACGGGTTCAAAAACACCGTTCAGTTAGTCAGAATAAGTTTCTCTTAGTTAATAATTCTGGATTAACGTGTAAATATTAATATTATTGTGACTATGGATTATAATCTATATTACGGTGTAAAATCTAATCGCTTATTGATAGTTTCTAACCGAGCTCCAGAATTCACGACGGCGGTGAAAAATACTTTGCCTGGTGTTTTTGTAGTAAGGTATAATTATGATACATCATCACTGGACGACATAATCTGTACGTACATTATACAGACCGATTATAATAATAAAATACATTTTCATCGTTAATATGAATTCTGAGAGATATTTTTCAAATTTAATTTACTGACAAATAACTTACATTATTGTTAAATTATAAGCTGTTCAGTGTTTTAAATACTTGTTTATTTTCACAGCGAAAATAGATGACAAAATGCAGCATCGAAAAGTGAAAAGTATTGCTATTCTTGTCCATTCAGATGAAACACAATTTTATATTTGTTCTACAAACGAAAAAGTATGCAACCGCGATTATGCTATTAAATATTAACTGTGAAAATTAAAAATGATATTAAAACAATAAAACTATCGAATTCACAACGCGTAAAATAAATACCTATATTAATATTACAACTAATATGTGTTTAAAAAAAATAAATATTTTTTTTTATGAAATTAAAATGTTTGATTAATAATAATATTTTATGCACGATTTAATAATTATAGGTTCTAAATGGAGATAGTTTAATTGACGATCCAGATATAAATTATTTTCTCAAATCATTGTCGGATTATTGTCATCGAGGATCATCGAGAATAGATTTTTTTAATAGTCGTTTGGCTTCGAATTGTGTAAAATACCAATTGTGTTTAGCTCTGCGACAATTGACTCAGGTATTTTTATTTTATTATTATTTTCATTTCTTAATCTCAATGTTTGTCTTCTGTATTCTACGTGAAAACATTTTAGTGTGACGTAGGCATATGGCCGGATCTAATGGGAGAAGAATATAATGGTGAATTATATTTTAATCCATCCGATATACGACCTACCAAGACTGCTTTAGATGGTTATCAACGAATTCGAACTGTTGGGAAAGGTGAGAAAGAAAATATTTCATTATGTCATATATGTCAATTTTTTAGCTAAATATATAAAAAAATTTTGAAATTCAATAACATTTGTACTTAATAAATTAATGTAGGAGCGTTTGGGGTGGCGACTTTATACCGAAACACAAATAAAAATAATTTAGTGGTGATTAAACAGATCAACATGTTAGATATGACTGCACAAGAGAGACAGCTTGCTTTGAACGAAGCGAAAGTCTTATCGTTACTTAATCATCCAAATATAATAAGGTTAAACATTTTTAAATCATGAAAATTATTTCAATTTATAACAATTTATAATTTTGTTTTTAATTTTTTTTTTTAATTTAAATAGCTATTATGGGAGTTTTGAAATGGACGGTGTTCTTATGATTGAAATGGAATATGCAGATGGTGGTACTTTAGCAGAGTATTTAATTGGTCGTAATTCTAATTTAATGCCAGAAAGACAAATTTTAGAAATGTTTTTACAAATGTCTAAAGCAATTCAATGTATTCATCAACGTAATATTTTACATAGGTAATAATAATTGCATTTTACCTATACAAATTAAATTTTGTAAAAATAAAGATTGTCAACTGTCAAGTATTTAAAAAACTATTAACATAACAATTATCTGTACGTGTAGTTTTTGGATGGTTATAAAATATTTTAAGTTGAACAATTATTTATAGGTATTTGTATTTAAACGTGAAATATTGTGTATTTTTTTTTTTTTAGGGATTTAAAGACAACAAATGTTTTTTTGACAAAAAATCGTAAAGTAAAGTTAGGTGATTTTGGTATTTCAAAAATAATGACTACAAAGTTGCAAGCGTTAACAGTAGTTGGAACACCATATTACATAAGTCCAGAAATGGTAAGTATTTATAGTTACTACATTAATTTTAATTTTGAATGTATAACATTTTATTAATTTATTTAGTGCGAAGGTAAACAATATAATCAAAAATCAGATATTTGGGCATTGGGTTGTATATTATACGAAATGACAAGTCTTCAGCGTACTTTTGATGCTTCCAATCTACCTGCACTAATTCATTTTATAACAAAAGTACTCTTATTGTAAAGTATTATTTTCATAGAATAATATTATTTTTATTTCACTTTTTTTAGGAAAATTTTGCGCCAATACCATTATGTTATTCATTAAATTTAAAAAAATTAGTGAACGATTTACTACAAAAAGATCCATTCCGAAGACCCGATGCTAATTATTTAGTTGAAACAGTACCAGATTTCATTGATTTTATAACAGATTCCAATTGGATCCAAGAAAGTAGTGAACTTGAATCGAGTAACGATGATTTACTAAACAGGTTGCTGTATAGACAATATGTATTATATTTTTTATATTTGGAGGTTTTTCTTTAATAAATATTTTATTCTTAAACAGATCGGTAGTATATCAATTTTCATCTCCAACAAATTTAACGCCGGTTCAATTACCGTTTAGAGTCCAAATCGTACAGCTTGCAGTGAGTCAAACACATTTCGTTGCTCTTACGAGTGGTAAATCCAAATGCAAATTTTGTAATATTATAAAAAATATCATTTTTTTTTTTTTTTGTATTTAAAAAAGTGATAACTATATCATTTTTCACTTGTATATAATGATTTATGTTCGAAGATTACTCAATTTTCACTTGGGGTGAAGACAAACATGGACAGTTAGGCCATGGCGAAGAAACTCCATGGAAAAACGATCCACAATGCGTCATATCATTGTTGGATAAGCACATTACCCAGTTAAATAATTGAAAAAATATTTATTTTTTTTTTAAACCATACATTTATTGTTGTATATTATTAGTTTAAATTTAATTTCAACAGAGTTGGAGCAGGGCAACACTTTAGTGTTTTTGTTAGTAGCACAGGTCTCGTGATGACCACAGGTGACGGTAAATATGGTGCTCTCGGACATGGCGATTGGAATAGCATTTCCAGACCAAAACTTATAGGCAGGTTACGATTGAATTATAATGCTAAGATATTTTATAATAATTGTGTAATAATAAAAAAAAATAAACAAAAAAAAAAAAAAACTATAAATACCAAAAAACTATTTTATTGTCATAAAAACTAATCAAATTCATTCTGTTTGATAGACTTTTTATTGAAAGTAGACGTGGTGAAAATTTCTTGCGGCAACTATCACCTAGCGGTATTGACAAATGAAGATCAACTTTACACTTGGGGTCGTGGAAATCATGGGCAATTAGGATTGGGAAATTTACAAGACTGGCAAGTACAACTACCTATTCCTTTAGCCCAAACACCATCTGTTAATTTCCATTCATTATGTTTAGCTGTTTTCCGATTTTGGTCAATTGGCCCTTCAATGAGAAAATCGCATCAATCCAATGCGGTCCCGATTGTACGGCTGTAATTACAGATAATCAAAACGTGTATGCGTGTGGATTGAATAAATGCAATAAACTTGGTTTGAACCGACCATCTTTATTTAAACTTAAAGTAATAATATTTTATAAATCATGTAATATATTTTTTTTTAACTCATTATAACTAAGACTAGGGACTTATAGGAGTTTGTATTATGTGTTCTGTAATAATCATTCAAAACATAGCTAAATTATATGGAAATTTGTTTCATGGTACTAGAAATTTAAAGCGATCGTTTTTATTTTGCATATTTTGCATATTCAGGTTTTTTTCTTTTAGGTGAATTTTTGTTATATTTGTATTAATTTAAGTACATATTTCACATATTAAGTCAAAAAAAAAAAAAAAATAAATAAATAAATAAACAATAAATGACACAGAGAATAATATTTTATAAGTATTATATAATGTTTAGCAATAATTTTCTAGAAATTAAAATTATTACGTACAAATAATTAAATAATCTATAGACTATGTGTTTTCCCAATCATTTATGTGTTGCGAAAAACATTAAGTCAGACAATAAAAAGTACACCGAATATAGTCAGTTGATGTCAATTCGTTTGTTAGTATCGTATGTGTGTTTTTTTTTTTTTTTTTTTTTTTTTTGGCATCAATATAGTTAATATAATATTCTAGACTATAGGTAAAGTTTTTTTTTTGTAGAAATTAAATTAAAAAAGCCTTATTTAATAATTAATCAATTTAAAATTTTTGGTATTTTTAAGAAAAATAAAATATTTTTAATAGAATATTTTAGCATTTTTTAAGTAAAAAAAAAAATTAAGATAATTTTTAGTATGCACACATTAATATATAATATAGTTTATTTAGAAGATTTTACAATAATCATTTAAACTATGGTAAGAATTATTTTTAAAAGGAAATTCAAAAACGTTAACTGTCTAAATCAATTAGTTTATTTAAACTAATTTAACACAATAGTTTAATTAAAACATATTATTTTTTTTTACAACACAAAATAAAATGTATAAATCAAATACCTTTATTTTAAATTGTAAAATTAAATGTATTTTTCAGTTTAAAGAAGTTCCGTTTGAAAGTTTATTTACTAAAATAAAATTCTTAGAAGGATTACAAGTAACTTATATATGTTTTGGTGAGTGTCACAGTGCCGCTATTACTGCACAAGGTCACGCGGTCATTTGGGGAAGTAACATTTATTCCCAACGAGGGAAATTACATGTGTCTCAAAATAAGCCAAATTTACTCCAGTTGCCTGGTTACAGTAAAGCACAAGTAATTACTATTTGAGTCAATTTTTAAAATATATAATCGATCAAGTATATTACTTCTCAGATTATTGACTGTGGACCAACGTATACATTAATTGGTACAGATGATAATGCTGTAGTGTTTTGTGGTACACGTTTTTCAGTAAGTTTCATTTAACAAAGTTAAAATAAATGAATGTATATTTTATTTTATTTTTTGCTCTTATTCCATTGTTATAGATGGACACAAAAGCTCTCACACAAATGACTTCAATGTTTACATCAGAAGTCATTGCTAGGCCAAAAGTGATACTTGGATTATATGCCACTGATGAGCAAATTGATAAGGGCCAGTTATTGGTACTTAATTCACTTCAAGCAGTTGGTCATAATTTAATGATAACTATTGATACATTTTTGAGGGTTAATAGTTAAATTTGTAATTAAAATAGACACTTCATTTAATGTGAAATATTTTATTTTTTTAATATACACTTATTAATATTGATATTTTATAAAATTAGTTAATCATCATGTATATACTTATATTATATTTCACAATTTAATCAGTTTAAAAAAAATTTTAAATCAAGCTTGAAATATTTACATAGTTAATAAAATGGATAGATTAAAGAATACAATAAAATTAAATAACTACTTAGTTTTTATTAAATATAATATGAAGAGTAAATCAAAATTATCAACTAAAAATAGTTAATTTAACGAAGTAACAAATAATAATTACGTTCATTTTAATGTCAATATACCTACATAAAAATATTTGATTATCAACTGTATGTTTAGCATTGATTAAATAGAAAAAATAACTCATGTTAAATGATTTTTTTTCTCAGTACCAATGACGACTATACACGCGTTAAGTTATTTAGATTATTTTGTAATTTTTATTTATTTTTTTAAATCATTAAGAAAACTATAAAATTTCTAAGTGAAGGGCGACATTTCAAAACGCACTATTGCCAAAATTCAAACTTTTCAGGAAAGAAGAAAAACTGTTTTTGGTATAAATTCTATGTATGAGTTTACATTGATGATTTTTATCAATATATTATAAGAAAAGAAATAGCTTTGAATTGTCAAAATTCATGTTTATCAAGTTTTAAGTTAATTAATTAAGGTTTTAAATTTATCTCTTGTGTCAAAACGAACTATTGCCAACACATAGTACGTTTTGGACTGAGTCGGGCAATAGTCCATTTTGTAATACATGGAATCATTATTAATTCAAAACGCACTATACTAGATTTAATAAATATTATGAAAATTTTATTGTTTGAAAAATACAAGTATATTGTCTGTTATTAATATTAACCAGATACAAAAAAAAATATGATATACAATTTTTTATTAGTAATGTATTATAACAATATTTTTTATAATTAAATACTGTAGTTACTGACAATAACAAAACATTTTATTATGATAATAGGTTGATGACAAACTTTATTATATTCATAGATATAATATGTAATAATGAAAAAATACTTACACTTATAGCAGCAAGTACAAGTTTTTTGGAGCGACGATTCATTTTGAAAATCTTTTTCTTTATTTAAAGGTATTTCAAAAACTAATAAATTATTTTTCATCAGTTTTTTATCCTTTGTGATAAGTTAATGCAATATTATGCATAATACGTTATCAATGAACTTTTGGCGGTAAACAGCCAAATTAACAACACTTTTTTTTTATCATCAAATGAAGTTAGGAATGATTTTTTTTTTTCATCGAGTTGATAAAGTTATGAACATAAAATTGGAATTAATCGTATTTACAAATTTAATACTCAAATTTATTTAAACAAAGTAAAATCGAAATTAATTTTATGTTAAAATTATCAAAAAGTAATAGCGCGTTTTGGAAAATAGAGAATTTATGTCCTATGTAATTAGTATGGGAAATAGTACGTTTTGCTTTGAGATTGGCAATAACGCGTTTTGGAATAATATATGGCAATGGGACGTTTTGACGTAACAACTAGTTGAGTTCTATATTTATATTATGGGCAATAGCACGTTATGGAACAAAGTGGCAATAGAACGTTTTGAAAACTAATAATATAGGCGATAGCACGTTTTGAAACAAATACCGAATTTAAGATCGATACCACTGAAAAAATAATCGTGATATCGAAAAAACAATTCCAAATTCATATTTCTCAGCATATTTACCATAAGAATCGATATCTAACTCGATTTCGATAAAAATGGCAATAGTGCGTTTTGGAATGTAGCCCTTCAAGTATTATATTTTTGTTTCATACTTAAGACGTATGAAATTAATATATAGTTGAAAGTACTTAATGTACCTACAAATAAATGAAAAATATCCTATACAATTCATAAATTATTTAAAAAAAGCAAACATTTAACATATAATATAAACATATTCAATACTACATACCTATTAACAAATATTTAAGAAGAAAAGCGTATTTGAGTTAATGTAAAATACCTGTTGATTGATTTTTGGACTATATCGTTTTTTGATTGTAATAATTTATTCATTCCATTTTTTTTCTGACAAAACAAAGTGCATATTTACAAACTACTTAAAATTTAAAAATAATCTCCAAATAATTAAACTTATAACGCATATTGTAGTAGTAATTCTAGTTAAGATGGTACCAGTCAGTAAAAAAAAAAAAAATAATTATTAGACTCTCCATAATGGCAAAACTGTGAGACTTTGGATTACCCGATTTTAATTCTATCAAAATTCTAACATTTAATAACTCCTCTGGAAAATCATCAAAGTACGTTTTTTTAATTTGAACTTTGATACGGTTAGAATATGTAAAATATGATAAAAATTTGCGTTTTTACAAGTTTTTTGCCAAAGTATAATAAAATTAATGTTGAATAAATTTGTATTTCTAAAATCTTTCTTGAACATTTTGTAGAGAAGGTGTTGATAAACGTAAGGATTATTAGGAATATTATAGAATTTGAATCGAGTAATCCAAAGTCTCACAGTCTCACAATATTGTCATTACGGAGAGTCTTAAAACGATAAATTTTTTGAATTTCGCATTTTGATACTCTTTTTTTATCGATTAATTATCTGTAATTTTAATATATTAATAATAAAAAAGATGATTTTTTTTAAGAAATGTCCTATCGTTTTTTAGTTTATTAAGTCTTTTTATTAATCTTAAAGACTATAAAGCCTCGAAAACAACATTTATAACGTACACTTATTTGATGTTACGTACCTATTATAAATAATATTGGTTTAAAGCGTGGTTGAACTAATATCAAGTATCTACCAGTTGATTGCTTTTTGTACTACATCCTTTTTAGACTTTCCGTAGTGTCAAATTTATAAGATTTTGTTTTACCCGATTTTAATTCTGTAAAACTTCTAACAATTTTTAATACCTTTTCTAGAGAACAGTCTGAGCGCAACAACAATTTAATAATTATTGCATTATTGCCAACGTTTATTTGTAAAAAACTAAAATGTATTTAATTAATCTCAAGTTGTGCATAAATATTATAATAATGTAATATTTTATTATATATTATAACGTGTGATTTGAGCTTTATATACATTAATTCTGTTGGCATTAAATTATTCTCCAATACCCTGGTCCTATTTAATCAAAATGTATTAGTATATGAGTTACAATAATTATTCACTCATGATACAAGGAACAGGTGATACGACTTGGGGGACTTCATAATATTATGTTTTATCCAGGATCATTATTACTAATTTAAATGTTATCATTATCAATGTACTTACGTTAGTGATAATAGGCTAGAACTAAACGCGTTTCTTTAAGTAATTCACGAATTAGATGGAAATTTCAGTTACACGGAATCCACATATTACTAATTTATTATTCTAATTATACCTAGCACACTCAAAGCATTTAATCAACATAATATAGACAAATACAAAATAAATCTGTAATTTACACTTATTATTCATTATAAAAATAAAAGAAAAATATAAAACGTAATTAATCGGTATAGATGTAGTTTTTCAAAACGTAAATCGTATTCACTAGTAATGGGTGACGAATAATCGTTAAAAAATTATTATTTATGAACATTTCATAAAAACATCTTTAGAAAAAACCAATATCAATAAAATATTATCATAATATTATTATAATTTATATTATATTAATATCTTACAGATAGAATATTTAATTAAGATATTCTAATAATACATATTATACTATAAAGTACAAAATTATATAAGGTAACATTATTTTGAAATAAAAAAATAAAATTAACAACAATAACAATAAAGTATTTTTAAACTTAAAATATATACCGAATTTAAAAATAAATAAAATTACTATAAAATGATTATACTAAGTATACAGAAGGATAAAATAAAAATATAAAGTTTAAAAACGAACTAAGTTTACCACGAATTTCGACAAAGTAAATAAAAAAAAGCAAACATGATCGAAAAGAACATTAATGTCATTGTTGTGTATCTGGATAAATTTTTATTAATTAATAATTAATAATTATTAAATAAATCTGTAAATAAAAATTAATTTTAAACATGTTATATTATATTAAAATGTTTCAATTAAATTTTCAGTTTATTATAGTTTTTCATTATAAACCTAAGTACTATTAATTTATTTCGAACAATAGTATTTAGTATTATGTCTAATGTAATAATAAATAAAGACCACAGCGATAACAGTTTAGATTTAAATTAAATTGTAACAAAAATTGTATATTTTACTATTAAATCGCAAGGTGATAATTTTTATATGATAGTGAATTATATAAACATATCATACAATAGTCAAACTGATACATAAATAAATAGGGTTATGGAAATATAAACGTATAGAACTAATAACAGTCACAACCGTCACGCCGTCACGTTATTTATTAGACTTTAACAATGGAGAAACTTACGATTTTGTTAGTCTTATTAGTTAGTTTATTGTGTAGTTGTGATAATTTTCAAAACGAAGGAAATAAACACAATGCATGTAAGTGAATAGCTTAATAAAAATGTGTTGATATTAATAGTAGCTAAATTTGTATAACAATATTATTTTCTTACTTAGATAATCTTCCACTGAAAACACGTGCTAGAAAAGACATAATAAAAACCAACAATATTCAAGATGAAGAGACACGGCATTTTACAATGGATGATGAATTAGTATTAGATCCATATCCTTCTAAGATACCGTAAATGATACTATGAATATAATAATAAATTATATATTTACTTATTCCATTATGATAAAATGTATTTCATTATCAATTTAATAATATAAAGTTTACATTATTCTAGGTCTTTAATGGATCCTTCAACTTCTATTGGATTTTTACAGCCACAAGAAATTAATCTCGCAGATCAATGTTTTCCTAGGCCACAATGTGACTTTTTTAACCCATTCAGAACCATGGATGGTAGTTGTAATAATCTACAATATCCGACTTGGGGACAAGCTAACACAGCAAGCACAAGAATTATTCAAGCTAATTATTCTGATGGTATTTATTAAATACTCGTATTACAAATTATTTTAAGCTTAAATGTTATTACGAAATAAGTATAATTTTAGGTTACGCACAACCAAGAAAATCAGTATCAGGACACGAATTGCCAAGTGCCCGAAAAATACGTACAGCCATATTACAAGATGTTGACAAATCTTCACCAAAAATTAATTTATTTGTTATGCAATATTCTCAAATAGTTACACATGATACAGAATTCACTATACTTAAAGAATTAGGTTAGAGTTTAAAACAAATTATGCTATGCTGAATATAAATACAAATAATTTATATTTTGTATAATCAAAATATTTTTTAAATTGTTGACTGCAAAAGTGTAAGTCATAAAATATGTAACATTATAATTTAAATTATGAATAATTTAGACAAGTATATTTTAAACTATTAAATAAAATAATTAAATTCATAGGAAAAATACAAAACAATAGTAGAAAATAAAAATCAACTCCTTAATTTACTACCTAACAACTTCACCAATTTCTTGTAACTTATTACTATTTAAAAATTCAAAATGCTGTATTTTCAAACATAAGCTCTGTTAGATTTAAATTGCACACATACAAGTACAATAAACTCAATAAAACCAAAACATAAAATTTATATTTAAAATTTTCACCAAAAATTGGTTAACTTACAAATTTGAAACCTCCACATCAAGTGTTATATTAGGGCTTGGAAATTTTAGGAACTAAAAAAGACAAAATATGGATTAAAATAATGTTAAAATTAAAGCAAAAAAATTATTCTGAATTCCATGATAAAATAAATATATTAGATGTTGTGAATAAATTAATAATATACATAAAAACTGTTTATAACTGGTTGGCATTTTGACATATTATTGTGCTAAAAATATGATTAAAAATATTTTTTCACTATTTTTATAATTACGATTAATACCTTTGTTGAAAATTTTGAGTTTTATATCCAATATTAATTGAAATATACAGGTTAAGAAAGAAAAAAATCAATTTTTTTAGAATAGTATGAAATAATAGGCGTATAAAATCAATGAAATATACACTTTTTTTTAGCTAAAATTGACAAAATATGCATTTTCAATTTTTCAACTTTCCATTGTACAGTTCAGATTTCTAATTTAATCTGCTATTAATTGAGAGCATACAGAACAATATGTAATTCCTACAACTTCCAAGCCCTAGTTATAAAATAAACAGTAATTAATAATGCTACTGTATCTTTACACTAGTTTCTTATCTTGACACTATTACATGGTATTTTATAAATTTTAGTAGGTTCATTAAAAATTTATAATAATCAATATTACTTATCCATTTTATGCGTGTTTTAAAAAGATACATATATTTTATTTTTATTATTTTATCTTGCAAAATTTAAAAAAATAATGTTTGTAATACGCTATTGGGTATCAATCCAAAATACAAAATTAATGATTTATAATTACTGTAATAATTCTAAATTATTTCATATTGATAAAATTTAAATGATTTAAATATATTATAAAAGGATCTAATGGTCCACTAAAGTGTTGCAATAAGGATGGTTCTACACCGGAGATTATACCAAAAGAATGCCTTCAAATTAAAATCTCAGATGATAATAACTCACATTCAAAACACCGATGTTTATCCGTTCCAAGAGTGCTTGACACGTCGGATCGTGGTTGTAATATTAAACCAGTCAGACAAGTAAGTGTTTGTACTCTTTTGATTGAACGATATCAGTTTATTACGATGAAACAAATATATATATATTACAACAAAAAATTAACAATTATTTGTTGATTTTTTATTTTTTTTTTAAATTTTATTAGATGAATGGGGTATCCAGTTTTATTGATGCATCAATATTATATGGATCAGACCATGAAACATCGCGTTCTATAAGAACATTCAAAAATGGAAAGCTCAGACGGCAATTGGGACCTAATGGAAAATCTTATCTACCTAATGTGAAAAAAGCAACAGAATTGTGCAATGTCACTTATGATAGCACAGTATGTTACGTTACGGGTAATTAGAGCATGTCAATATGAACAAATACAATACTAATTATTTAATATATTTTCTTGTAATAATTATTGAGATGTAGGTTAATTATATTATCTAATATGAATAATTTAACGAATATTTAACAAACTTGATGAACATAACAATTCCTAAATACCTTTATTAGTTAGGATTATTTTAAAAAGTTAATTTATTAATAAATATGTACATATCATAATATAATATATTATATATCATGTATTATTATTAAAGATACATTTATAATAGTAAAATTGAAAAATAACCAATACAATAAATTAAATACGTCAATAAAATACCTACCTTGATAATAAAACCTTGATATTTGAATCTCGGTAACTTAAATTTCACAGGGGTCAAAAATAATTTTTAAGTTATCAAAATCTTAAAAAAATATTGATTTATTTTTAAAATATAAATGATGTTTACATTAAAGAAATAAAAAAATTCAAATTATTATTATTATTACATTTAAAATATAGTATCTAGTTAATAAAAATAATCAGATTTTCATCTATAGTATATACATACTTGCATGCTATCATTTGCATTATAACTCAATAGTAATGATTTTATTAGTTTAAAAATTTGTGATTTTTTTGACTCGTCAATCAAAAGTGGTCTTAATTTTTCTATGTCCGACATATTCATTCCTAGCAAAAGTTGTTAACCTTTCTTTGCTATATTTCCACCTGAACTAGATTATGCTTTAAATATGAATATTTTTTCAGTTAAATATTTAAATAATAATTCTGTTTTATCGACATTAAAAATATTGTCAGGTGAATAATTTTCTTGATCTTTGGAAAATTATTAATCCATATCATATATTTTTGTACATCATCTACAATGTCAATGTCACAATAAATTTAAAAACCACGTTATTTCTAATTTTCAAATTTGTTAATTATTCACTACTGACTTTAAAGTGTTCACGCCCTAATTTATGCCCATACTCTTCAAATTTTTATCATAAAATGAGTTCATTAAATGGATTTTTTTTTTATCAAGACATTGATGAAACTATTTTAATAAACAAAATTCTACATTTAAGTATTTTCTTAGATTCAATTTTATTTAAGAGTTATTGAGTTTATATTAAACAATTTAAAATTACTTTTTATTTTTATTATAGTATACAACGTACTCACTAAAATTCCAAATTTCTTGGCTATATCTTATTTTTTTATTTTCAATAATTTTAAGCAAATTCATTTTTTTCTGCAAGTAATAATGTTATCAAGTTATTTATTATTGTTATTATTATTATTATTTTTTAACCATAACCTTAGGAAAAAACTTCAATTATAAAATAACAATGCAAAACACACTTTAAATATTTTATATATTTTTCAAGAGAGGAAGTTTTCTACTCTAGACTAAATAATTGAGATACTATAAATATCAAGTAAATAGTTAAAAATAAATAGAAATTACCTTAATTAAATTATATTTGCAAAATTATTTCAAAGTTTATTTTATATACTTAAATATAATTTTTCTTATTTTGAGTAAGATCAAAATTTTCTATTTCCAACCAATAATACGTGTTACTTTTATTAATACAAATATAGTACTAAATCGTAAAATGAATTATTTTTTGACATAGTTGTATAAATATATAAATCGATTAAAATATTGTATAGGTATAAGTAAACTTCAGAAGAAGCAAAAGCTGCAATATTTTTCATTAATAAACAATTTATACATTTATAATCTCCATTCATTGTTTTGAGTTTATACTAAGTAACCATTGCCGGCGACCGGTCCTCGTCTAGCGCGACTTATCTTTCTGTCCCGCCTAGGCCTTTACGGCGTTGATGGGAGAGTTGGCGATATCGTGTCTTTACCAAATACCAGAGGTGGTGGTGGTGACAGTGTAGACCAGTCGCTGCGGTGCTTGTACTTTGTACCAGCGGCCGTTGCGTAGGTACCGTGTCATAATATACACACTAAAGAAAAAAAGAAAATTAGTAATTAAATTTTATATATTTATTAACTTTGAAAAAACAACTCAATTATGTAAAAATAGTTTTTAATTGTAACCAAGTTTAATATTATTGAAATTATAAACATTATATAGTAAAAATTCAAATGATTCTTCCGACCAATATTCGTTAATAAACAGATTTTAAGTATATTGAAGTTCAAAAATAATCTTAATATTTTTAAGAATTTAATAAAATTTGGATATTGTATCTTTTTCTGTCTCTAGTGCAATAGAACAAAAATAAGTGTATTTTGAAATTGTTAAAATCTTATGTAAAATTGAAACTTTATTTTTTTATTTTGGATACATGCTAGATAATATGTTGAATTTGTATTAAATACATAATTTAATAATCATAAGTTATTAAATAAAATAATAAAGGATAAACTTAAATCGTATGCATATTAATACATTTAATATAATAGATCTGTCATCATTTTTAAATGTTGTAAAACCTTTTTATTTTGGGTATGTGCGTATAATATTATAATATATTGTGTATTCGTGTTTATTAGGTGATCCAAGAGTTAACATACAACCAGACATGGCAGTTGTTACAATTTTACTAATGCGACTACATAACTATTTATGTGACGAGCTTAGAAGCTTAAACCCCAAGTGGGATGATGAGCGAATATACCAGGAAGCCAGGAGATTACTCATCGCAATGCACCAACATATTACATATAATGAACTCGTTCCAGTGATTTTAGGTTAGCCATATCTCATTATCAATAAGTTTAATAATTGTGTGTTAGAAAGATACTAATTTGATTCAAGGTATTACCACTTTGAATACAAAATTGTATTTTATTCTTGTATACTTTATACGTTGATGCATATAAATAATCATCTATAACTGTTTATATTGTATTGCATACTCGGAAACAAACCGATAGTTTAGAAAAAATCAATAGGTACTTACAAAATTATTTGAAATATAATGGTTATTTCATAAAAATAATAACAAAAAACTTTTTTTTTATGCTTATTTATAAGTAATTATTTATTTATTTATTTACAGAATAAAAATTTGTATAACGTTTTCAAATTGTATAACTAATATTAATCATAATATTTATTAGCATCATTCAAGCTATATAAAATATAACTATAGATTTATTTTATTTAGTTTATTTACATTACTCCACACATTTTAAAAATTTTAGTTTACCTACTATAAATACTTAAGTGTAAATTTTCATATTTTTAATGTGTAAGTTAATTAATTTTTCAAATTCTTAGAGCATTAAACGCACCTACAACCCTGGTTAATAATTATCATTGATTATATGTAATATTATTAAAAATAAAATTAATAATTAAATAATAGTTATTAATTATTATAAATGATTAAATCAAATACGCATACGCTTTAGGTATTACCAGAAAAAATAATATTATTATTTTTAATATCCTCAGGAAGAGATTTTGCTAGGGAAAACTATTTACTGCCGTTGACTAAAGGATTTGACGATAGTTACGACCAATATTTAAATCCAACTACAACAACTAGTTTTACAGCCGCTGCTTTTAGATCATTGCATAGCTCCATACGTGGATTTATTGAGTAAATAAAATAACACAAACAAAGATTTTGTATTGTTTCATGTTTCATTATAATATTTTTATTTCGTTACAGATTAGTGAATGAAGCCCGAAAAATAACATCTAAAATACGATTGAGTGATTTTTTTTTTAAACCCGATATAATACAAAAACAAGATAATTATGATAGCTTCACCAGAGGATTACTAACGCAAAAAGCACAAGAAGTAGATCAATATTTTACAGAAGAGGTATATAAAATTTAACTTTTATGCAAAAGGTCGTGGTAACAATAAATATTTTTAAAAAAATGGTTATCAAATTGTTTTATTATTTGTGTAGATTAGTGAGCTTGCAGTCAGAATACCGGACAGACATCAACATATTGATTTGATCAGTGTAGACTTGGAACGTGGTAGAGATTACGGAGAGCCATCTTACAATAAATTTAGACAACTCTGTGGATTAAGTGAAGCCAAAACCTTTGATAACTTGATCGATCAAATGGATAAGAAAGTAAGATCATATTATTTTGTATAATACAAATGTACAATATATATTTATTGAAAATCAATGATTAATCAATTAATTGTTTAACGAAGGACATAGATGCCTTATCAAAAATCTATGAACATGTTGACGATGTTGATTATTACGTAGCTGGTCTCTTAGAAAAATCAAAACCCGGATCCATGTTAGGTCATACATTCCAATGTGTTGTTGGAGAAATGTTTTTTAGATTGAAGTATGGTGATCGATTTTATTATGAATTTGGCCATCAGATAGGTTCTTTTAAATTAGGTAACCTATACTCATTTAATATGGTAATATACAATTATTATTATTATTATTATTATACAGTAGTAATATTTTTCTTACGATACCACTATTCTCTAACCTTTATCATCATTTATCATAGTTATTTGTAATATTATTTTTTGAACAGGTCAACTCAACGAAATAAGAAAAACAACATTAGGACTTATCGTGTGTATAACATCTGATATTTATTCTGTACAACGTAATATGTTTGAAATACCCAGTAGTCGGTGAGTACCTCTTACCGCACAATAATATATTTTTATTATAATCGTTATAGATATGAACTGTTTCTGTATACTTTAATATTTTTATAAAACGGATAAATAAAAAAATCGTTAATTTTTAGTTTATATTTTATACTGGTTGTGAATGGTGGATTTTTCAAATATCACAATATTGTATTTATATCACACGTCTACTCAAAATATCGTTTAAATAACACACTTATCATGGGGTAACGAGTTAATAGTTGAACATCACTTTGTCGTATATGCCAATCTATTCAATGTATAGACTAATACACACACAATTAAAATATAACACTTCATTAAAAACAGTGCTTGAAACTGACCACGAACACAATCACCATATACAAGAACCCCTTTTCACTCTATCTTATCTCTTATAATAATTAACCAAATTGTAACATAATTATCATTAGTTAATCAAAACTACTTATATATATAATATAATTATAATAATTATTATTTATTACATAATTATTTTCTAAAATTAATTATGAATAATATATTAATTTTTTATAGCTACATATTTCATTGTATACAAATTTAGGTTTGATTTTTTTTCAGTAATTAAGTAGGTACTTATTAATTAAATGTTTTCATAACCTAGATTTGAATTCTTAAAATATTTTGTATTACTATCTAATTTAATTTTTACATAATATACCAAAACGCATAATATAACAGTTGAACAATACTTATAGTTAAATTAATGTCAAGGTAATTAATAATTCACAGAAACAAAACATATGTGATTGAAAAAATAAATTATTTTGTAATATATTGTATTTATAATTTTTTAGTAATCCATTGGTACCTTGCAACTCTATACCAAAACTCAATTTATCTGCCTGGAAGGAAGAGTAAAATAAGTATTATATTATTGAATTACTTACATATATACTTTTTATATATTGTACACCTTTCAAATAACAAACGTCAATTTTAAAACTTTTTTTGGAAAAATATATAATTTATTGTATATATATATTTATATTTTATTCAAATAAATGTTAGAAAAATACTTTTGGTTTTCACGACGTATTTCATCGTTTTATCTTCACCTGTTTTTAATTCGTATTCCTCTAAATGAACATAATAATAAATATATGTTAATTTGATTAAAATAGCTGAAATATTGAAATATTTTATGGCTTTATTTTCTTCCGTCAAAATTAAAACTATTGTCTGTTGAACGTGACTATTATAACATTTTACGGTACAAAACAATAACTTTAAATGAATTAATTTTTAATATTAACTATTTTAGTAACGTCATAATCTTAAAATAGTTGGAATACTATCGTATTTTTTAATTCATTGTTAAAACGATAAAAAAACTAAATTAAAAAAATTATAAGAAGTTTTTAAAACTAATTTTTTTAATAAATTATACTAGAATATAAACATTACACAATATTATTATTATTATTATTATTACGATATAGTTTTAGACATAAATTTTAACATTTTTAACTATTTAGTAACTCGAAGGTACCAATCCAAGACGACCACAATTAAAATTTAAATAAAATATAAAATATCACATGCCGTCTGAAAAAATCTGTATCATTGCCGTAAACCTTCTCATGTGCAGGGGGAGGAGTATTCAAATTTGTATACATTAATTGAAGTTTTTAATTTGCACAAAAATGGAGGTGTGTATTTTGCACCACTGCAAGTAGCCGAAAATGGTATTTGTAATTCACATCAAAATAAAAGTAAGTAATATTCACCACCGTAGATAGTTGAAAATAGTGTTTGTAATTTGCATCAAAATGAATATATATTAGTAATGTACACTATTGAATAGTAATTGATATTTAAAGGTATAAATTGTTTGGAATATTTGAATACAAAATTACAAATTATATATTTTAAAAGAAATTGATAGCTACTAATAAATTAGACTCGACAGACCCAAATGACAATACATTTTCAAAATTTCTAACTATCTATTGCCTTATCAAGTAATCAAATCAAAGTTTGACGTTCCATTCTCTATCGGAATCACGTTACATCGCATTATAATACAGTGTTATTATTAAATTTACATTAATATATATATATATATATATATATATATATATATATATATGTTTATTAATTATTATAATATTATATAATGTATAAGTCATTATATTATTGTTATGAGGTTTAGCTTTTAAATCAATGCAGACATACCATATAGAACGATGTAAATACTTAATAAGTAAATGAAATAACCATTCAGAATCTATTAACGGAATATTCTGTGTCTTTAGCTTCTTATATCTTAATAAATGATATTCTACTATTGAAACTTGTAAAATTATTCTTTCGATAACATCTATCTTAAAATAATCGATTATAATTTTGGTACAAATTACATTTACTATTTCTTACTAACCTGTGATGGTGTAAATTACAAACGCAGCCTAAAAATGTTGGTGCAAATTACACATGTTTATAAATATTTAGGATTAGTTTTAGTGTAAATTTAATATACCTAAATTAATTTGTTAGAATTTGTTAAAATAAATTCTCATATATAATTGACATTGTCATATTTAATTTATTTTTCAAACTTTACTAAATTCGATGGTGTACAAAATAAGTTAATAACTGTGTAATTAAAAATCTTTACCTAAATAAAATTCATAAAGTGATAACTACTGCTTATATGTACCTGTGAACCAACAAGGTTAGTTAACCAAAAGCCATAATTACTATGTTTAATGTAACAAGCATCAATTTAATGGCTACAATAGTGTAATTTTTAATACTATTGTTATAATTTTTAATGACGTGTATTTAAGAACGATTTGATACATTTTGCGAGATAGTATTGTTTTAGCATATTTAAAATTCAAACCTATAAATAGGTAAGTAGGGTTACCGCAATCTAAACATACATAGGTAAGACCTTAATGCGTTTCAGTTGTGACCGTCGCATTGTAAATAGTTACTAAAAAAATGAAAAGAATCATCGTTTTACTGTCCCTTGTTTGCGTATCAAATACATGTACATTTCATGAAAATGAAGAAACTGGACTTAAACCAGGTAAATATAACTAAAAATAAAATCATATAGCTAAGTAATAGTTATTCGTAGGTATACATAACATTTTAATACCTAATTCGTATTATTACTTATATTTACTTAGTTAAAAAAAATCAACCAGAACCACACAGTATATTTATTAAAAATACCCCCAAAAAAAACAATTTTTTTCGTGGTGGAGGAACTCAAAATTTAACGATGAGAGATGAACCAGCAGTTTTAGATCCAAAACCAGCTAAAATACCGTAAATTAATATTAAATTATAAATTTGTATCAACAATTTTTGCTTTACATGTTAATGTTATTGTATTATTCGTTTTCATCAGATCTCTTATGAATACATCAAACGCTTTTGGAATGTTAAAACCAATAGAAATTGACCTTGCCGATAGATGTTTTCCTCAGCCCAGGTGTAATCCCATTTTACCATTTAGAACCATAGATGGCAGCTGTAATAACTTACAATTTCCAGTTTGGGGACAAGCAAATACAGCGAATACCCGAATTATCGAAGCAAATTATTTTGATGGTAATTAATTAGTATATATCAAATATAATTCTTAATTCTTTTAATTCTGTTATCTATGTTTTTTTTTTTGTTTAATAACAATAACATTATAAATGTGTTTTAAAAAAAAAAAAAAAAAAAAAATGTTTAATCAGGTATAGAAAAATGTATAATAATATATAAAAAAATTAAGGTAAATCGCAGCAAAGAAAAGCGATTTCGGGTCGCGAATTGCCTAATTCCAGACATATACGAACGAAATTATTCTTAGACATGGATAAACCTGCACCAGAACATAATGTATTGGTCACACAATTTGGACAAATGATTGCACATGATACTGAACTGGCATTTCCTAAGCTCTCAGGTAAAATTTTTATGATAAAATAAATTGATTTTTTTACATATAACATATTGAATATGTTTTATAATTACCAAAAATAGTATTTCATGCTAAGAAATATAAATAGTTTCACAAAAAAGAAGGTCTGTTAGCCCAGTTAATAATATAAATGATTGTTACTTGTTAGTCGTAGAACTTAAATAGATTCTAGTTTCACTTAGATTACTTCACTAATAATAATTATCATTAACCATTAGTGATATAAAAGTATTATTGTAAATGTATATAAACTAATAATTATACATTGTATTAATCAATATTTTTTTTACATTTATTACAACTTCATAATAAATTATTACAGATACCATTATATCTTTAAGAAAAAAACAGATAATTTTGACAAAAACAGATGTATTTTGTTATGAGTTATGAATTATATGACTCATTGGTATTTTGTATAGGTACTTAAAATATTACTAACACGAACACTGATTCAATAGGTGTTTGTATTTCATATATTCATACCACTAGTACTTACCCAAACCTATTTTATCCATAATTTTAAAGTTATTTTTATTTAACTCCTTATTTATTAAAATATGTTTTAATTTTTACTCAATATAAGTTAAGTAAAAAAACTTTTAAGTAGAATTTTTTGATAAATTAAAAAAATTGTGCGTAAACGAACTGATTTTATTATTATAATATTATAATAATATATTTACAGATGTATAATAAAACAAATTAAACACAAAAAAAAATATTAAATACTCACAGAAAAAAAAAATGATAATTTTCATTTTAACTCAAGTGATTATAATTTCACTAATAAACATATATTTTAATTAAGTTTATAAAATTAAAAAAAAAATGTAAATATTTATTTACAATAAAATTCGTTGAACGTTGTTTAAGACTATCAATACTTTCGTACGTAAAAAACGCTTAACTTATTTTTTTTCGAAATTGAAAATTATACTTTTTTTGTCTGTGTTACACAAATAATTAAAAATTATAAATTGCTTAAATATTTTTGAATTTTTAAATTAAAAAAATATATGGATTACAGAAATTTAATTATTTAAATCAGCCATAAGTTTAATAAAATATGTCATAATAATAAAAATGTATTGTTGTATTTAAGGAAATGGTGGTAAACTTGAATGTTGTAACCTTGACGGCACAACTCCGCGATTTCTACCTAAAGGGTGTCTTCCAATTACTATCCCGCAAGACGATCCTGGTTCGAAAAAACGATGTATGTCCATTCCTCGAGCAGCTGATACGTCAGACATAGGTTGTCAAATCCAACCGGTTCGGCAAGTAAGCATGATATAATATAATTTCATATCTTTATAGGCTTATTTAAATTTAAAATTTAATATAAATTAAATAAATTGTTATATTTTTCTCGTTGTAATTACTAATTTGGAATTTTAGCTTATTGGTGTTACTAGTTTTATTGACGGTTCGGCATTGTACGGTTCAGATGATGTTACATCAAGGAGTTTACGTACATTTAATAATGGCAAACTGAAAATACAATCTGGACCAAACGGAAAATCATATTTACCAAATGTAAAAAAATCAACACAATCGTGTAATGTCCTCACAGATAACACAGTATGCTACACTTCAGGTAATTAAAATTTTGTTCATGAAAATCGTTCAAGGTCTTTCCGATTAAGATAGTTGATTTCTAAAATCAGTATTCATTTAGCATTAATTATTAAAATCATTTCATTAATCAATCATAATTAACTTATATATTTATTGGAATAAACGCCAATTAACTATTAACAATTAAGAGATAATTAAATACTTTTAAACATAAATAATTAAAAATGTTATTGGTCTATACTATAATTTTATGAACTTGCACACTCAAAATAATAATGTATATTTTTCAATTGTATTTTTTTCTTAAGAATATTAATGTAACGTATTTTTAAATTACAAAATGTCATCTATAAAATTAACACCATTACTATAATATAATAAATTACAGTATCATAAAAAATGGAAATAACTTAATTTTCATATAGACTGTTTTAAAGCTTAAAGGCATAAAATAAAATTTGTCTTAGTAATTATAAAATATTCGAACAAATATATTTCTTCTTTAGCTACGTTAAAAACCGTGAAATTAACTGAAACAAAATATGAACCATTAATCATCCCTATTAAGTAAAATATTAATTAATAATTAAATAACTATCAGCAAAATAACAAAAATACGCTTTACCAAAAAATAGGTAGGCACAATGATTTTTATCAAACAACGATGCATTAAATATTCACATATATTTATATATTATGTCACGGGTTGTTTTTTTCTTCGAGTCGAAATCTATAACGTACCATTGAATGCATATAATAAATTCTTTAATGGTTTTAAAAACTACGAGTTTAACGACAAAATTAATTGTATTTGCATAATTTCATAACTGTCAGACAGTTATCTAAATGAAATTTTAAATATATATTATATTTAAAGCTCATTTATTTATACATATCTAATTTAATTTTCTATACATAAATATACATATATTGTTATTGTTATTTTATTAAATTCTGTTTTACGCAATTAACTTACTTTATCACCATATATTTGCTGCATACAATTTAAATTTCATTCAGGGGATCCAAGAGTTAATCAACATCCCAACATGGCAGTCAACACAATTTCCTTATTGCGATTACATAACATAATATGCGACGAGTTCAAAAGATTAAATCCCGCGTGGAACGATGAAAAATTATACCAAGAAGCTAGGAGATTACTCATCGCAATGTATCAGCATATTACGTACAATGAATTTGTTCCGGTAATTTTGGGTAGGTGATCACTATTTTTTATAAATATCTACCTATTAGATTATCAATAAAAATTAAAAATATTGTAAATGCATACATCAAATACATTCAACTATAAAACTATGCGTACCTATAATATACTGTTATTGTCACACATATTAAATAATTACAGGAAGGGATTATTCTAGAGAAAATAGATTGCTACCGTTAAGTCAAGGCTTTGACAATAATTATAATGAAATCTTAAACCCAACTACATTTACTAGTTTTACCGCTGCTGCGTATAGAGCTCTTCACAGCTATATACAAGGATCTATGGAGTAAATGAAACATCATAATGTTGTTCTACGTAACTCATTTAAATGTAATCAATAATAATGTATTTTGCAGTTTGGTTAGTGAATCCAGGCAAACCACGTCAACGTTACGTCTAAGTGATGTTTTTTTAAGACCCGACATAGTACAAAATAAAGATAATTATGATAGTCTCATTAGAGGAATGCTAACTCAACATGCGCAGGGTCAAGATCAATTTTTTACAACAGAAGTATTTTATTTTGGTTTTTATTTTTGTTTTAAATTATTTTATATGTAAAGAAAAATACTATTCGCTACAAAAAATGAGTTAATTATTTGATTTAGATTACTGAATTTCTATTCAAAACCCCGAACAAAACGGACGGTGTTGACTTGATCACCTTAGATTTAGAACGTGGACGAGATTTCGGGGAACCTTCCTATAATAAATTCAGGCAACTATGTGGATTGAAAGCTGCTAAAACATTTAGCGATTTAACTGATCAAATAAGTAAAAAAGTAAATAAAAATGCATGTAACCGTTCGTTGACGTATTATATAATACAATAATTATCTATATTATCTTATAAATTTAAAAAATGTTATGCAGAACGTTGACGCCTTAGCTAGCATATATGAACATGTGGACGATATTGACTATTATGCAGCTGCAACTTTAGAAAAACAAAAACCGGGTTCCATATTTGGGCATACATTCCAATGCATTATTGGTGAAATGTTTTTCAGATGGAAATTTGGTGATCGATTTTATTATGAATTTGGAAACCAACCAAGTTCTTTTAGATTAGGTAACGTTGACAGTTATGCAATTTAAATACTTAAATTTTTATGTTCATTGAAACTGTTTAATATATACATTTATATTTTTTTATTTGAAAAAAGACCAACTTAATGAAATACGAAAAACGACATTAGCTTTCATGATGTGTGTGACGTCAGATATTCGATTTATACAACGAAATGCATTTGATGTACCCAGTAGCCGGTGAGTACTTTAAAATATTAATGTTTATAATTTAGACTGATTTCGCCTAACCTTATGAAATACGTCATACGTAATCAGGTCTTAAAAAAACGTAGGTATAATTTAATTTCCATTATGTGTTCAATTATTCTATAGAAAATAAAAAAAGTATACAATTGATAATATCATACTATTAAGATAAAATAAAAATTCTATGATTAATGAAAATTTCTTATTAAATCTATTCTAATAATATTATAAAGCTGAAGGATTTGATTGTTTGAACGCGCTAATCTCAGGAAATACTGGTTCGAATTGAAAAATTATTTTTGTGTTGAATGGTCCATTTGTCGAGGAAGGCTTTAAGCTATATAACATTACGTTGTGACCAATAAGAGCGAAGTATCAATTAAAAATGTTGTGAAAACGGGAAAAATAAATAATAATAATAAAAAAATATATATGAATATAGAGTGTACCACAGTCTGCAAACATATACAAATATTATTATTATATTTTATCCGTGTAAGATACACCTGTACATTATTAAAATAAACTAAAAATAGTAACAATAACAACGAAAATAATATGATATTAATATATTATCGGAAATAGCACAGCCGAGTAATCGGCATAATATTTTATAATGCCTAGAACAAGAACTCAGCTTTCTTGGTAAATCTAATTATTCATAATATTGTCATAAAAAATATGATACATTGTCTCTGCGGATTTCACAATCCTGCGTCACCATATATGAAGGAAAACATTTGTTCTAAAAAGTACTCTAAGTATTTTATTTCTGAAGTACTTTAAAATATATTATTTTAAAAACTTTTTAATCGCGATCATAATAACATAAATTGACGCGAAATCGCGGAAAACAGCTATACTTATTATATAATTAAAGATAATAATATAATCTATGAAATGTTTTTATTAATTTACCTATAAAATGATTAAAATAAATAAAATTCTAAAATATTGATTCAAAAATTTATAAAAAAATTGTTTTTTTTATTCGGTGATAAAAATAAATGAGAATTTATTGTTTAACATTGACAATAATTTTGACATGTATACGAATTACGAAAAAAGCATCGTTACTGGTCGGCGAGCAACGTCGAGTAATTCATTATATAAAATAAAACATTATATTATAGTTAATACTTTTAATGGACAATGAAGTGCACGAAATCAGCTTGTTAATAAATAAAAATAATAATTTTTTTCTTTCTTTCAGAAATCCTTTGGTATCTTGCAATTCAATAACAAAACTCAATTTGGCTCCTTGGATAGACAATTAATGAAAATATCGTGTCAATCTCTTTTATTATATATATTTATATACTTTGTATCATGTAGTATATAAGTATAGAATATTATAAATTTATGATTAGATATTAAACAAGTTTATTGTTAGAAATTAGAACGAAATAGTTATACATGTACTACGTGAAAGATAGTTAAAAAAAATTGTTTTTATATTTAATATATATAAACTTTTTACTTTTTAAACAATCAAAAATATTAAAATATTATACTGAGAAATGATTTCTTTTGAGTGTTTTCTTCATAAACTTTTAACCACACGCCACGTAAAATCTTTGGCATGAATACATGGAATACATTGGTTATTGGTTATTATTGATATTTGTATAGTAGTGTAAAAGAAAAATTATTTCGGTAGACATTTCTACTAAATATTATCGTTTAAATCAATATTTTCAAATTAGTAATTAAAAATATTTGTATATACCTATCGAGTTAATAAAATAAGGATATCTTACAAACGTATTCTAGTCTCTTAAAAACTATTATACGAGTTATATTATGTCGTTAAGTTCTGAGTGCACCATTAACTTAAAAGTTAGGTTTGTTGAATCATATTATGATAATAAATTATTACCTATATACTATTATATGATATTTGTTTTTGGCAAAAATATATCTTATTATTATAATATAAATATAAAAAAATACTAAGTATAAACTATACCTAAGTTAATTTAAATATCAAACCAATTACCGGTATTATATTATAAATTAAAAATAAGTAGAATAATACAATAATTTATTAACAACAAAAACATTTTAAATCTCAAATATCAATGTGTTTCAGTTATTATATCGTTACACCATAAGTTAATAAAAGTTAAAATATAAAGACAATTGCAGTTATTCATTTATTGTTACTTATTGGTGTATCGCATGTCCATCAAAACGTGAAAAACTGGTAAAGGTTTACTTGTTTTAATTTGAAAAACATTTTTTGAGATACTAATCTAATTTAGTTTTGAAAGGCAAAAATGCAGTGTCGTGTGTAATAATTTGATTAAATTGCATCATAAGTAAATTATGTACCTACAGCGGCTATAGGTAGAGGATAATCTTTATCTATGAAAACAGTTGTTCATATTATGTACCTGAGACCTAACAATTGATAATTCATAAGTTAATTTCCCTTTTCTTGTTTGGCTATTATCTTAAATTTAATTTTATTCATATGTCATATAAATAATAATATTTACTAAGCAATACTATATGAATAGTTTGATTGAATAATTTGTATATTCGCTGTTTTAGCTTATCCCAAATTGGATTATCTAAGTCATTACAACTACCATTCATGGTTATTCTATATACTTTTATATCAATACTTGATATCACAACGGGCTTGGAAAGACGTTTGTTGGTAAAACTAATATCTGACAGGCTTAAGAGTTCAATAAATTTT